TAATCCCAGCACTCAGGAGGCAGAGGCAAATAAATCTCTGAGTTCAAGGCCAGCCTAGTCTACAGAATGAGTTCCAAGACTGTCAGGGCTACACAGAAAAACCCTGTCTGGAGGTGGAGGCATTGCCTAATAATCTTAAAGCCAACAATCATCACTTAATATGATTAGATAGTCATCAGCACCCAAAACAAGAGCTGGTGACTTGGTCATTTCTTTGCCCAAAGTTACGCTTCCTTTGTTGACTGTCTTAGTCAGTGTTCTAGTGCTGAGAAGAGACACCACAACCATGGCAACTCTTATAAAAGAAGGCATTTAACTGAGGCTTATTACAGTTTCAGAAGCTTAGTCCATTATCACCATGACGGGAAGCATGGTGGCATGTTGGCAGACATGCTGTTAGAGAAGCAGCTGAAAACTCTACATCCCAGATCTGTAGGCAACAGAAAAGGACACTAGGCTTGGCATGGGTTTTTGAAACCTCAAAGCATATCCCCTAGTGACACACTTCCTTCAACAAGGCCACTCTCCTAATCCTTCTAATTCTATAAGAGTTCCACTCCCTGGTAACTAAGCACTCAACTCTATAGGCCCATGGGAGACATTCTTACTCAGACCACTACACTGACCCACTTTTATTTGTATCATTTCATTTTTTCTCATGCTTTGAGACAGTTTCACTTTATAGACCAGGTTGATCTGGAACTCACTATGGTATCCAGGCTGCCCTCAAACTCATGGCAAACTTGGCTGCTCAGATGTTGGAATTACAGGTGTAAGGCACCATTATTGAGTTGACCCACTGTAGAGATGAAGGGTTTCCTCCATAGCTTCCATGACATCCAAAGTCAGTATTGAGAGGGAAAGGAAGATATTGAAAGGGAGCATGAGTAAGAAAGGATACAAGGCAGAAGGGAGCTTCCATGCCTTGTAGCTAATGATCTAACCTTGTTTCCCTTCTTTTTACTTAAGGACAAAGTCCACTTAAAGATAGCTCTCAGTTCTTAGCACTTCATGGTCTGTTTTTCAAGTACAAAGATTCTTTTCTTTTGTTTTTTTTAGGCCATATATATGTTTGTGTGTGCACAGGTGTATGAATACATATTTGGAAGGCATTGGAAACTTTAGCTGTCTTTCCTTGGGCTCTATCTATCTTCTGTCTCTCTGTCTCTCTCTCCCTGTCTCTCTCTGTCTGTCTCTGTCTCTTTCTCTGTCTCTTTCTCTGTCTCTCTGTCTGTCTCTGTCTCTGTCTCTCTCTCTCTCTCCCTCCCTCTCTCTCCCTCCCTCTCTCCATCCCTCCTTCCTTCTCTCTGAGATAAGATACTTGACTGGCCTAGAATATGCCAAGTAGGCTTAGCTGGCTGGCCATCAAGTTCCAGGTATCCTCCTGTCTCCACTTCTCCATCACTAGGATTACAAATGAATATCACCATGTCTGGCTTTTAAATATAGGTTATGGGGATCAAACTCCAGCCCTCAAGCTTACAAAGCAAGCACTTTACCTACTGAACCTCAAGCCACATGTCCTTCCCTTTCTTGGGTCATATGTACCTTCTCTGATATCTTTATTTTAAGCCTTTATACTTTTGTATTTGCTTGAAAGAAATGCAAAGTAATTATGAATGTGTTCCACTTACATGATATTATCATTACAGCAAGAAATGGCAATGCAGCATTGCTGGTGTCGGGTGTTTAGCCTGAGAAGCTCCCTTCATAGACCTCTCACACTGGATATAACCAGGATCTTATAAAGCAAAAGGAAGTCTGCTAAGAAAAGATACTTATAAGCCCAGTGTGTAGGTGGGCTTCTTAAGAGAGTCACATTTAAGTGCCTTAGCTCTGTGTGCCTGTGTGATGTGTCATCTTGTGGCTTTTGAAGTTACATTGTTCAAATGATGTCATTGATATCTAAGTTTAAAAGATTAAGCAAAAATATTTTGGTATACTTTTGGGGGGACTAGTGCTGGAGATCTACCTTGGAGCCATGTGCATGCTAGACAGCTGCTTTGCCAAATGAACTATATCCCTAGTCCTGACATTTTGTCTAAAGGATTTTTATTCAAAGGTGTCTTATTAAGTAAGTGGTACATATTTACAGATAAGAAAAAAAACCTTTTAAGATGAAGGCGTAGGTCAAGAAAAAGGTCAAAATAGTTTGTACTGTACAGTAAAAGTTGAGGCATGTGTTTTTATTATAAGGGTGCTCCACAAACCTGCTTGAAGATTTTCTCAGAAAAATACAGTTTAGAGATGAGAAAGGAGCAGTGATAAAGTTAAATTTAAAATTTGGGACTTAAGTGTGGTCATTAGTTCTGTCTGTCTATCACTATCTCTCTTTCTGTCCCCCTATTTTATTTTGCTTTGTTTGTTTGTTTTTGAGATTGTACTCCTGTAACTCAAGCTGGTTATTTACCCAAGGATAGCTTTGAATTCCTGCCCCTTCTGCCTCCACCTCCCTGGAGCTGGAATTAGAGGGATATATGACCATGCATGGCTCATTAGCTTGCATAACACTCTTACTTGAGAAATCTCTCAGAAGAGTAAATATTTTTTCTATGCAGGCCATCTTCACAGTGGTTGTTTTAGTTCAGTCAAAATTCCTGACTCTCAGCCAACAAGAAAGGCAAAGTAGATTGGGAGGCTGTGAGGCATCCTTTCCCTTCCTGTCCCCTTTCTTTGCTCTGTCTTTCTATCTTGTCTCTGTTGTATGGCAGACCTGTTTACCTATGAGCTGTTGCATATCCTCAGTTCCCTTTCCCACTTTTGAGACAGGATCTTGCTATGTTGCCCAGGCCAGTCTTACCCACAATCCTCTGCCTCATCCCCCAAGTACTAGATTGATAGGTATGTGCTACCATGTCTGTCTGTAGACACTCTTACAATATAGTTTCTAAAAACATAAAGTATGTATAAAATACATCAAGTCTATTTCAGTTTTTCATTTTGAGTTATGGAAGTCAGTTTCTTGAACTACCTTGCTACAGCATTACAGTGAGCATATCATCACAGATCTGTAGTGTATAAGTCAGCCTACCTACATAACCATGTTTGACAACATCTCCCAGATTTACCCACCAGAGAGGGACCAATGGATCATCCAGCCTATGTATAGTATCACAGAGGACAGGCAAGCCACTTAGGAGGGTGCCTGTGTGTGTTTGTACTCTTACTTCAGTGAACAAAAATTCTTGCCTTCCCATACCTTGGCCCACTTTTGCTACCTTCCACCATCCTGTTGGGTAGAAAGCCCTGGCTCACTAATTGAGCATTTGGTCACTGTTGTAGTCTGCACACCCATTAGTACTGATAACTCACCACCAACTGGTAACTGTCCTACTTTGAATTTCATCATTGTATGTGTTGGCAGCCATGTAAGGTTCCCTTTCTGAAAGTTCCTTCCTCATGTCTTTGGTTCCTTTTGCTGTGAATTTTATGTGATGTCATTAATTGACAGGCTCTATTTTATAGATATGTAATCCTTTATCAGTTTTACATGTTAGAGTTTTTTTCCCTTGATTTCATTCTTCCTGATTCTGTTCATGGTCTTCTGTATTGAATGGAAATGCTTAATTTTGTTGAAGTCAAATCCAGTAAATTTGTAGTTTTAGAACTTCTTTAAGGTCTTTCTGGTCTCTAGTGTTCTATAGTGTGCTACCCCTACTAGAGATGGTTCAGTAGTTAAGAGCACTGGCTGCTCTCCCAGAGGTTCTGAGTTCCATTCCCAGCATTTTTTTTTTGCATGCAGATGAACATGCAGAGTACTCATACACACGTACATACATAAATAAGTGAAGGAGGAGGAAGATGAGGAGGAGGAGGAGAGAAAGAAGAAAGAAGAGGACAAAGAAGGAGGAGGAGGGAGAGGAGAAGGAGGAAGAAGAGGAAGGAGAAGTAGAAGAAGAAGAATTTAAAGTGTTTCCCCCACTGGTTTTTCAAGCACATTTTTACTTATGGTCCTTTGAAGACTTTGTCTCTCATTGTGCTTGTTGTATTAACTCTTGGCTGCTCTTAATAGAGTTTTAAAATGCAAAACAATAGATGATAAACCTCCTCTTCTCTCAGTTCTTCTAAGGTTGGCCCTTTGACCCTGTTTCTACTCTATGAATCCTGGAGGCTCAGCTGTAGCTAATTCAAAAAGGGATGCTTGCCCCAAGCTGTGTACTCAATCTTCCTCCAAGGAATTTGGAATTAGGGCCAGTCTTAGCTATTTTCTTGAAGGAGTTGCAAATTGAGAGGTTTGGAATGACTGTCTTCTACTATAGGCACAAAGAAATTAGAGAAGTTATCTGAAGAAAGAGATTGAAGATGTGAGCAAAGAAACAAAGGGAAAAGGCTATGGTCCCATAGAGAGGAGAGAGTTTGAGTTGGAATGTGAAAGTAGCCGGCCTGGATCCTGATGGCTTTCCAGTTTCTGGTTCTGTTCTCTCCCGAGAACATTACATTTCCTTTTGTATTAGATAGGGGTGGCTAACCACTGTAACAGATAGACTCCAACGTATATAATGGCCCTCACACAATAGAAGCTTGTTTCTCACTTACACAAACAGGACCAGATGGTTCCAAGTTATCAAGATAGCAGCAGTAGAGGCCTGTGCCAGTTACTTAGGAACCAAGGTTAATGGAGGCTCTGCCATTTCCAACGTATGACTTTCAAGGTCTCCCTGGACATTATATCCATCCTACAGAAGGAAAATGATCATGTAGTTGAGCTTATGGGAAGCTTTATAGGCCAAGTTCCTTTGGCTGGAACTCTGTCACAGGGCCACATTTATCTCTACAGGAGGCTAGGAAATGTAGTTTAGCTATGGACCCAGAAGGAAGAGGAAATGGGTTTAGTGAACAAATAGAGATCATCACAACATGCTTTGTATCCATATGAAACCCCTACCTTTCTAATCAAATTCCTGTTGCTTTTCTTAAACATGTTTAAGTTGCTTCTGTTATTTGAACTTCAATGCATATCTAATACAAAAGAGATAAAACCAATTAATTAATTTTCTCAGGAAAATTGGGCCGATTTCCACCTATGATGCATCACCACTCAGCACCCTCAGATGGTCAAACACCAGGGGCTCGTTTCCAGAGGTCTCACCTTGCAGAGGCCTTTGCAAAGGCCAAGGGAGCAGGTGGAAGTGCTGGAGGAGGGAGTAGTGGAAGAGGACTGATGGGCCAGATCATTCCAATCTATGGCTTTGGGATCTTTTTGTACATACTGTACATTTTGTTTAAGGTAAGTCAAATTGTCTTATATGTATAAGATATATGTATATCATTGAAAATCTAATGTCATTGTAGTAAAATCATTGTCTCTGGTAAATCCCTGCAAAGGTCACACAGACCTTTCAAATCCATCGTTTCTTTTAAAGCCTCATCAATTCCTTGTGAACTTGTTAGGATCGCCATCATCTCAGTTTTACAGAGAAATCTTAGGATAGGTTTACAACTAAAATGTAAGTCCAAGATTTGAACTTGGATCTTCTAGTTCATGATCTAATCAGCACTATAATTCAAAGAAAAAGAACAAAAGACTAGGCATCTTTGCAAGCTGATAGACCATTAAGATGCTCTAAGAAGCAGCTTGCTCATAGGATGGTCATCAAGGTTTCCAAGTAGCCACTGTGAGGCCATATTTAATGGTGCCAAGGTGTGAGATACTGTGCCTGGTGTCATCTCTGTAATTCTGTCCTGACCAGACTCTAAGCTCAACATTTCCTGGTTGTAGGAAATCATGCTGGGTCTTTTAAGGGGGACCCCCAAATAAGTTCCACTTTTAGGCAGGTTTTTTAGGTTACAGGCTTATTCTCTGTGTTGAGATATAGAAGCCTCACCTTACACTCATGCCTCAGTAAAGTGAGGAGAGTTTAGTTTCTTCCTGCCCAGGAATTCTGCAGGTAGTCTGAGTGGAGATGAGAATGTCCCCTGGGGTGCTGCATCACCTGCCACTGGATGAGCATGGGTGTAGCAGGTGACTGAGGGGACTTTGTTTTCCTTGTGCTTTGATCTTTGCTTCAATCATTTTTACCTTCTTAACTCCTTCAGTGGCTTTGAAAAGAGATTTCTCTAACGTTATACTTGGTTTGATTTCTGACTTAATTTTTGTCTCCCAGCTTTTTTTTTTGTTTTTTCATTTAACATGAGGTGTTCCGTGACTTTGAGGTTCTGAGCTGCTGTTGATGTGCTGTGCCTCCTTCATCCTCAGCTTTCAAAGGGGAAAACTGCAGAGGATCGGAACTGCTCCACTGCCCCACCCGGAAACACCCACAGGAAGATTAGTAAGTGCTCTGTACTAGTCTTTAGTGGTACTGAGTTGGAGTGGGATACAACCAGGGGAAGAATCTGTGGGTATGTCCCGAAAGCATTTCTCGAATGTTGTGTACACATGTTGGCCCTTAAAAGGCTAATGCTGCTTGTGCTGTAGCATTAGTACATATTAGGAAATTAACGGTCAACATTTGGCTTAGTTACTTTTCACTTAGAGAGTGCAAAATATTTGGAGCAAATATGTTTATTTCACAGAGGAAAACTAAGGGAGAAATTACATCACTGTCACATTCCACTATTAGCTCTTGACACTTTGGAGTCTTTAAATGTGCTGTCAAATAGTGCCCAGCCAGATTCCTCTGTCCTGTCATAGTCCTTTGTTCTAAGAATGTATAGATTAGAATGATGCTAGGGAAAGCACTTGTAATCTGTAGGGGAAGCACTTGTTAAGCAAGCATGAAGACCTAAGTTAGACTCTTCAGCACTCATATAAAAAGCCAGGGATGGGTGTGCATGCCTGTAACTCCAGTGCTGGTGAGAGGACACTAGACAATCCTCAGACTCCCTGGCCGGCCAGCCTAGCCCACACAGCTTCTGGTTTATTGTGAGACCCTATTTCAAGGGAGTAAGGGAGAGATCAAGAAAGGAAGATGCTGCATGTCATCCTCTTGTACATGCCTGCACACGCGCGCATGCCTGGCTCCCATTGTACATGCTGCACGCATGCGTGCCTTGCTCCCATTGTACATGCCTGCACACGCATGCCTGGCTCCCATACACATAAACTTCACACACAGAGAAATAACTTGTAAGAAGGGGTTGTCAAAAGCACTGTGGGAATCATGTCTGGATGGCTTGAGTAAAACTTATGCAAACATGAACTTTTGAGCTTGTAGTGGTCCTACTGTGTAGCACAAACTCACAGAGGTCTGCCTGCCTCTGCCTCCTGAGTGCTGGAATTAAAGATCTGAACCACTTCCTCCATCAAAGGTTTTCTTGTTTGCTTTCATTTTTTTAAGTTTTAAAATTAAAAAGTATTTTTCTTACTAAAAGTTTTTAAAAGAAAGGCATCGATAGAATGACATGAGGATGAGGCACGGAAGCAGCTGCTCTAGGCAGTATCTCCTTTTGAATTACTTCTGGGTTCTTTGTTGTATTAAATCCTCAATCATATTTCACAGCCTTTTTGGAAATCCTAAATAGTCAAGCACTCTCTGAAGAAAACTGCTATGTCTCATTATGAGGTAGTTAGTAATGGTAATATATATCAGTAATTTAAAAAAATCATAGAAGGAAATCTTGAACCGACAGGAGGGCTCACTGGGTGAAAGTACTTGCTAAGTTTGGTCCCCAGAACCCTTTTAGAAAGGCAAGCTTGTTGTAGCATGCTTCTGTAATTCATGCATTCCTTTGATGACAGGGAGGCAGTCAGGAAAATCGTCTAGAAGCTTGCAGACCAGCTAACGCAGAGTATGAAGTACAGGAGAAACGAGATGCCTTGCCTCGATAGAGTGAAAGTTCAGAACTGACTCCTGAAAGTTGTCTTCTAAACACACAGACACACACACCACAAAAATAAACAAAGCACTAATAATAATAAAATAAAAAACAAAGATTGTTAAGACCTTCCTCTTCTCAGAGACAAAGTAAATCAAATGGCCAAATGGACTTTTGTTTATAACAATAGTAATACCAGTTTACTCAGTCTTATCCTTTATTATAAATCATGCAAAAAAAACAATAACCTCATCACCACATAGTGCAGTTTGTACCCACTTCACAGGTATTAACTGAATTAAAAGGATTTTTACATCCAGGCAGTGGTGGTACATGCTTTTTAATTCTAGCACTTGGTGGCAGAGGCAGGCAAATCTCTGTGTTCAAGGCCTGCCTGGCCTATAAAATGAGTTCCAGGATGGCCAGACCTACACAGAGAGGTCATTTATATACTGAGGAGCATTTCCTTTTCCTATGGCCTGAAAGTTCTATTCGTATTTTGAGTATTTATTTATTGTTGTGTTTTTAGTATCTTATTTAGTGTTTCAGTGTTGGTATGTACTTTCTACTGATACTGTTTAAGAAAACAGCATCTAGGGGACAGAGTTACACTCTAGCATGGTCTATTCTTTGTTCTAGACAACTAGGGTTAAGTTGGGCATTGAGGTCTCAACCATAGTTTGGGACTTTCTTTTACAGAAATGTAACACTGACACTCTTAATTCCTAGATATTTCCAGGCAAACCAGGATCACCTATGAGTCCTGATCCTTTATTTGTAGTCTTATATAGGCTTGATATCTTACCCAGGAGCATTGTTTGGATCACAAACCATTGTCTATCTTCTGCATTTACTCTGGAGTTACTTAACAGAGTGTTTTTGGTGCTGGATGTTTTCTTTAGTTGGCTCTGCTGGATTACTGTGTAGAAGAGGGAGTGATTTGTTTATCATTCCCTAAATGAATGTGTATCCTTTTGAGCCTGCTGGCCAGACCTTTGTACCTTTTTTGTGCTGATTGTATTAGTTAGAGAAGCCCTGTCGGTTCTCTTAAGTCACTGAACAAGCCTGGATTACCACAGATCATTTCAGCTAGCCATTTCTTGGAAGGGCTTAAGGAGTTGCCCATGATGGTTCTTAGACTGATGCTTGTTTTTTCAGCCAACTTTGAGCTTGCTCAACTACAAGAAAAACTAAAAGAGACAGAGGAAGCCATGGAAAAATTAATCAACAGAGTGGGACCTAATGGAGAGAGGTAAGTTTTCATCAAATAGGATTTAGACAATTTCATATTTATAGATTATCTTATGTAATTGTCAGCTTAGGTGCAATATATGTATCCTTTCTCAATTAACATTTCATTTTCATATCATTGAGAAACTTATTTTCAAGTGTTAAATGTGGTATAAATTATTGTAAGAGTTTGTGAAATTTATAAATCTTGTTGGGTCAAATAACCTAGTTTTAAGAAGGATCTTCTAGTTGTCTGTTAAAAATTTTAAGTAAAATCTGGTTATTGAAAATTGTATTTTCTGATATCAAATAAAAAAAAGCAAGAGCCTGAAGAGATGACTCTGTGGTTAAGAGCACTTGCTCTTCCTGAGGACCTGGGCTCAATTTTTAGCACCTACATGGCAGCTCACAATTGCCTTTAACACCAATTCCAGAGGAGGGAATCCATTGGTCTCTTTTTGCTTCTGTGGGTACTTCATACATGTGATGCACAGACGTATATGCAGGTAAACACACACATTAAAAAAAATCTCAAAAAAGCAGCTGTTATCACAGCAATCATTTGTTTTTTGTATTTTGTGTTCTCCTAGTGCAGAATTAAACATGCAAAGTAGGTATCAAGGGCGAAATTAATCCTTTAGCAAGGTACACGCCTATTCTGCCATACTGGCCAAGGATCTGAAAAGGTAGGTGCAGGAGGCTTATGAGAACAGGAACAACTAAGAAAACTAAGGTACCTACAAAAGCCAGGAAAGGAACACCAGAATGTGATATTGAGTACTAAGACAGAGTCCGTCTCAACTAGCCTTCTCACAGGAGGAGGGAGAACTTCACAGTGGGCCATAAAATCACATACAGGATATTGAGGAATCTCATCCTTACCTTCATGAGCAACTGTGGGGTCTTTGATACAAGGACCAGGTGTTGGCCTCTTCTGTTTGCCATCTTTCAACTATCTGAGCTCTGTGCCTCATCTTTTGCTCACTGACATCTAGTTTACCATCCTTTGTTGCATATAAGACATCAACAAATTGTAGTTTCCTGTCTGTGTGTGAATAGAAACATGGAAATAATTTCTGATATGACCAGTAGAAATTTTTTAGACATCTTTCACATGAATGTGTAGCTTCACACACATTCAGTGTCTTCCATGTTTTGTCTGATATAAAACACAATATCAAACTCAAATACACAGGTTAAGGGACTAAGGTGAAATATTCTAATTTCTGCCTTGAGAATTAGCAAGAGTAGTATCCCTGGTGACCTACCTGCTAGAAACATGGTGTGGCCTGAGGAAGCACTGATTGGCAAAGAGCCTGGTTCTGAGTAGCCTGGACTTGCAGATGTTCCTTATGCTCTCTTGTATCCCCAACCCACATAACTACTCTTTTCTTTCCCCTAAAGCATCTGTGCACTGTTCATCTAGGAACTTGCAAATTCATTTTTCTTTGCTGAGACATTGACCTCCCACCCCCACCAGACACCCATTTTGACTTTGAATTGTCATAGGGCTCTCAGCAATGGCATCATTTTCTCTGAGAGTCCTTACCTGAGACCACAGAATCTGCCTGGTGTTCCTCCATACTCACATCTCCTGGGCATATTGGGTGATATATACAGCTTACAGCCATCAAAGCATGTCTTCCCTGATGTCCTGCAACCTTTGAGAGAACAGAATTATCACTATTCAGTCTTAGTCCTTGTGCTAGAACATTGATGATATCTGAACACCCTGAAATAATGAGTATTTTAAAGCAGGTTCATCAGCAACAATTGTGTCTTCTTTGGAATCTTTTCATTTGTTTTGCACAGCCCTGTTAACGGCAGGTATTAGTTTTTCTAGAAGTAACTCTGAGAGTGTAACGTATACTGCTGTGGGACTGTGAAAGGATAGCTTGGTTCCTGGTTGAGAACAGGCCTTGAACCCCAGACCCTAATGGGATGATGGTAGATGTTCAGCCTTACTCCCAGACCCCAGGCTCCTGACATGCAGGCCAAAGACATCCATTGATCAGCACCTTTCAGTCACATAGGGCAACACCCCTACCAGCCCTTCCACAGGTTGAGGGTGTGACTACAGGCCTTGGCCTCAAAGGATTTCCATATTAATGAGATACCTGAAGGCCAGAGGGTGTAGCCAATTAAGTATTCCTTCCCAGACCCTCCTCCCTCCCTATTTAATTCAAGTCTGCCCTGAGAGAGGTGAGGAGTATGGCCAGATTCATCTACTTTCCGCCACGACAATAAACCTTTAAAACCATGGACTTCCTCATGTCTTTGGGGCCTGCTGTGAAGAACTGTGGAGGGGGCCTTAGACTATTCAGCCACCATTTAATCAGTCCAGCCATGGAAACTGCCAACTCAATCAAGCTGTCTGACCCAGCGATCCAGCCAAGTGACCCAGCCAGGCGAGTGTCAAGTCAACGATGATCCAGCCAAGCGAGTACAGTAACCAAGAGCCTCTACACACAGGGCGCTGTCGGGGCTTCCCTCCTCCTCCTTCCTCTCAGCTTTAGGCCATCCCGTACTCCCCCAGTCTCTGTTCTTCTGTGGCCCCCAGCGGTGTCTGGGAGCCCAAGGACAGACCACCGGCCTCCCAGATCCTCCTAGTGCCACATGGAGTGAACTCAAATTCCCACACTTCTGCTCCCCTGAGCCGTGGGATCCACAACTCCACCCAACAGGACCCATGCCCCCCTACACGCGAGCTAACAGCCCCACATACTGCTAAAGCAAATAAACTCAAATCTAGGGGCTTAAATAATGCAAATTTATTATGCTTGAGTTCTGTGGGTTAGTGGTCCTTTATTGAGTGAGAATTGTTGGTGTTGACAGGATTCCCTTTGCAAGGCCCTACGGCAGTCTGATTCCTTGACCTTTTCAGCTTCTAGAAGTTGTCTATACTCCTTGGCTTATGGATCCCTTCCTTTGTCTTCAAAGATACCAATATTGGATTGAGATCTATTCAGATTATATCACTGACTTCTACTGCCTCCTTTTCCCACTTTTAAGAATACTTGTAACTACACTATACATTCTCAGATAACCCAGGATAACCTCCCATTATAATGTCAGCTTATTTTAGAAATATCAAGTCCACCTACAACCACAATCCCCTTAGAGGGAAGTTTATGGATTCCAAGGATTAGAACATGGGGTATCTCTGTGTGGTGAGTGGGATCTTAAGGTCTGATGGAAAGGGGAGATCTTGAATGAGCCTTACAAGATAGAACAGTTTCTTCAGGCAGAGTTCAGAAAAAGAGTATTTCAGAAGGAGACAGTAATGGAGAGAGAAGAAGGCGAGTGCTTGGAATAGCATTCAGTTGGGAGCTGGTGTAGTGTTTACAGTTAAGATTGGATAAATGGCTAGAGAGGTGGGTAATGGGAGACAACTAGGCAACTAAGACCTGTATCTGAATGATGTTGGACTGCATTTGGCATTTATTGTTTTTGCGAAGGTTTTCAGAAGAAATGTCATGTTTTCCTATATTTATAATACTATAGCAGACATATGCCAGAAGCCTACTGAGAATGTTCCTTCAAAAGGCAATGGGAACTGTTGGTATGGTGGAGACTTGAGGGTGGCAGCAGGAAGATGGCAGGGTCCTAGCCAGCAATCTACTCAGGGTGTTTTAAGCCAACCAGGCTATGTAGACAAGTTTTGTTAAGGTAGTGAAAGTAGAAAAGAGGGGCACAGATTATGGGAATTTATGGTTATAACTATGGTTATAGTTAGCAGAATTTTGAACTTAGAAGAAAGAATATGAGGTATCTCAAAATATCAAAGTTTTGAACCTCTAGCTTTTAGAAAAAGAGGCAATCATAGTGGGTCTTAGTATCTCTTGGGATTTAGGGAGCAGGAGCAAAAAAACTGATCCAGGATGAATTATCATCAGAGGTGTCCACTTCAGGATTTACTTGCTCAAGATCCAGTTGGTAAGAAGGTACAGTTGGTCCAACTTGGATCATGCAGCTGCCAATGATCCAATCAGGACAGTCAGGAAGATGGAAGAGGAAGATTGCCACTTGACTTCCCTCGAAGGGATGTAAAGGGATGAGTGTTTTTACCCTAAACTATAGTATGAGTAGAAGAGAGACTGTGCCCACAGAGGAAAACTAAGAACATGGAAGGAAAAGAAGATACAGAGATTTATAGTACTTCCTAGGAGATCCCTGCATTAACTAAGATAAAACACAGAAGAGAAAGAAGTATCAGGGCATTGTCTCGGGGAAAGATGAGATCACCAAGTTGTTGAGGCCATTGTGTTCTGTTGTTAGCCTTACTCTCCTTTCTGTTTGTTCTCTTTGCATTTTGCTCTTGGATTTAAACTTGATGATTCCTTTAGTTAAAAGTCAGCTGCCATTATTTTCCACCTGTGGTCTTATATTTTTCTAGCATTTTGGAATCTGCCATAAACAACCTATTTATTATCCAGCTCTGCTTGTTCCTGTGGTTTCTCATGATTCTTGGCCATGTGGGCCTTGGTTTTGAGGGGATTGAATTTAAGGTTAATTTGAAATTTAATGTGATAACAAAGCCCCAAGTAGAACTGCTGAGGAAATAATTGGGTAGCATAGACATCTGGGTAAAAAGTAAAGATTAAGGAAATGGTTAGGACATCTTCTACTTAGGGTAATGACCTAACCTTTGATGCAGGGACAGCCTCCTTGTAGTGTGACTACAAGAATGGAAACACAAAAGTCCAAAGATTGTGCCTTCATGATGGCCAGGCTTTAGTGAGCGGAGAAAATGACATGGTCAGAGCTAAAAGGAACAATTGCTGAAGTGGGAGGAAGGCAGCTGTGTGTGGCCAATGCAGGGAGTTCCCGAAGGGTGCTCTACATTATGAGAAATCAACAGGAACAAACTAGAAGATACTCGGGAGTAGGACAGCCCTGATGATTTTTGTAAGTTTTGGTAAATGATCGAATGGAGGCCACATTTCAGAGAGGTAGATGAAAGCAGACAGTGAGGAAATGAGGACCAGGCAGACAGACACAGGCATTACAGATGTCAAGGCTGTGGCCATGCTGCTGTTCATGTATGTACTTAACTGCCCCAACAGTGAGAATTCCATAGAAACATCCATTGTAGTAAATTTGGAAGATGTGCTAATATGGATCCTGCCCTCTGTGTTTAATGGGCAGCACAGACACACTTTTTCCAAGTTAAAAGGATATTTTAGTTTGAAATTTTGTCTGTTGATGCTTCTCCAAGTCTGGCTATTGTAGTTAAGGGCTTCCATTTTTCTCTGAGTTAGGAAGCAGAGGCTCAATTTTGTTTCATTTAGTATAAGAACACACTATGTAGTTACAGAAATAGTTTGTAAAAACTGCTGGTCAGAGCTTTATGGAAGCAGGCAGGTTGTCCTATTCTACCCCTGAATTCTCCTACAAAATGGGTCATTTTCATTAGAGGAAGTTGGATAACTGGGCAAGTTTTGTTTTTCTTCCCAGTGAGGATGGTAGAAATGGCACACTCTCCTTTTCCTCAGTTACAATCTTAATGTTTGAAGGAGAAACCTGTTTTTTCTGTTAGGTGAACTTCGTTACTCTGAACACAGAGAGGGACACAGTGAGTACCTACACTGAGTAGAGTGGAGGGTGCCTCCGTTACTGGTGCCTGAGGCCTGCTGATGGGTGCTTTAGGCTGTAAGGAAATAAAGGATAGTTCTCTTCAATCTTCCACTAGGTGGTTTCTGTTTTCTGTCCAGGACACTGCCTTTCTGTGTAATGCAGTGTTCCTCTCAGCTGTGTGGTTATCCTCCAGTCTCACATTACGATTGCAGGTATCTGCCCAGAACCACAGCCCCTTTGGTAGTCTGATAAGGTTTCTAAACTGTGAAAATTGAGTGCTGTGGTGGGCTATGGGCTCATTGGTAGTATTTGCTTAGTAGGAATTCCAAAAGAAAGGAGAAGAAGGAAAAGAAAAGGCACCAATCACCGTGTGTAAATTTCAGTTTGTGGATCTCAGTTCCCCAGGTTCTCTGATTTACATGATTAAGTGTTGTGAATTATCTACCTCTGAAATTTCAGACTGTATCCTTACTCTTGTACAAATGGGAAAAGCCCTGTGGATCCAGTCTAGTATTTTTCTATGGTTGAGTCTAATGGCCTAGAATATTTTTTCTTTGACAACTTGCTTCAGAGAAAGTGTCTCATAGTGAAGGGAATAAATGTAAGAGTTGGAGAGAAATTGCAGGAGACTGGGGAATCAGGCTGCTGAGGTATGAGGGTGAAACCACCCAGATCTTGTTTCCATGTTAATTCATCTTGGACCTCAAGCAGCTACTTGATTGAAATATTCTGGAGATTAGATTCTCCATTTACAAAATCACAACATTGAACTAACATCTCTGGTTGCAGCCATGACATCCCTTAAATTGCCTGCTGTTAGATTTCCTCTTTGAGGATCCAAACAAATCATGGTGAACAGTTTTTCCCTGTTACCTAGGAGTGCTGACCACTAATGACTGGATTGTCTGTTTCTCAGCAGAGCACAGACTGTGACTTCTGACCAAGAGAAACGATTACTGCATCAGCTCCGAGAAATCACCAGGGTCATGAAAGAAGGCAAGTTCATTGACACATCTCCAGAGAAGGAAGCTGAGGAAGCCCCGTACATGGAGGACTGGGAAGGTAAAATGCCTCCTTGCTTCCTTATTAGCTGTCACCCAGAAAGGAGAGCTTGTCAGTTTTCTTAATAATCAATTTTGTATAGACATGACATCTGTATAATGTTTACCTAATTTAAATGTAAAGTTGGGGAGATCTGGCAAATGTGCAGTGATAATCACACTATAGTGTCGGAATAGGACAATTTCATCACCTAAGGAAGACCCACCCTCCTGCCTCTGGCAGCAGCTGAGCTGCTTTCTACCCCTTAGTTTGGCTTTTTGTGTATAAATGGACTGTATTGCAGATGCGCTGTGATGACTGCCTTCTGTTTAGAGGAATGCTGTTGAGATTCGTGTGTGTGTTGACAGTGTAGCACAAGTTCTTTCTGAAATTGCTGGGTAGGATTATATAAATATACCACAGTCTGTTAATCTACTCACTAGTTGATTAGCATTAGGCTCTTTCTAGCTTTAAACTGTAGGATCCAAGCTATTGTGAAATTTGCATGAAAGGCTGTTTTGGACACACTGTGCTTCTCTTTCAGTATATGTTTAGGAGTGGGATTTCAGGTTTTATAGTAGGTGCATGTTTAAATTTATTAGACACTTTAAAGTGGCTGTACGTTTCCACCAGCAGCTTGTGAGAGTCAGTTTTCCCATACCCTTGCTAATGTACCATCTTTGTAAATGTTAGCTATTCTAATGAGTTTACAGTGGTATCGAAATCATAACTCAAATTTGCATTTCCCCAGTGACTACAATGCTGAACATTTTTCATGTGCTATTTGCAAACTGTGTATCTTTGTTGAACAGTCTGTTCAAATTATCATTTTTGAATATTGGGTTGAATGTGTTTTTATTAAGTTGCAACATATTTATTGTGCTGGGGGGGGGCCTTTTTTTTTTGAGAGAGAGAGAAAAGGTTTTGTGATATAGTACCCCTGGCTGGCCTGATACTCACTATATAGCACCCAAGCTAGTATTGACTCATCATCCTGTGGTTCAGCCTCCCTGGGACTAGCAATATATGTGTGCCTCACCTGTGCCCAGTGGCAGGAGTTTTCATGCATCTTGGATACAAATACTTTACCACTTAGGTATTTTACATGTATTTTCTCATAACCTGCAACTTGCCTGTTTATTTGCTTAATAGCATCTTTATAAAAGAGTGTTAAATTTTTATGAAGTCATCATTTTTCTTTTGAATCACATTTTTGTGTGTTCTCTTTAAGATATCTTTGCCTAATCCAGATGTTTTCATCTAGAAGTTATATGGCTTTAGTGCTTACATTTAGGCTTATTTTAAGAATTTTAAAAAAATTTTTTTTGAAATTAAAATATAATTGCATCATTTTCTCCCCTCCCTTTCCTCCTTCTAACTCCTTCCTTGAGTTATCTTTATAGATGGTAAGGCATCAGGACTTAAATTTTCATTTGCATATCTCAGTACTGTGTCACTCTCCATTAATTTGATTTAATTAATAACTTTAGCACACTGGTTGAAAATCAGTTGACTCTGTGTGTGTGTGTGTATGTGTGTGTATGTATGCATGTATGTATGTATGTATGTATGTTCCTGAGTGTAAAACCTAGAGTTTGCACATGGTAGGTGCATGCTCTAACACTGAGCTCCATTCTAAGTTCAATAACAAATGGTAAATGGTCAGCCCCGAAAATACACACACACACACACACACACACACACACACACACACATATATATATGAGCAAGTTGTATTTATATATTTATGAATACACATGTTGGGATCTAGGAATTGCTAGGAATTGTTTCACAAACCACATGAACACCAATCTCAGTCAGACAGGTACAGTTTATTGAGCATATGCTCCAAGACTGGTCGACCAGGGCCATGGTGCTGATTCAGGAAGTGAACCATGACCCAGAGTTAAGATCCTATAGAGTTTTAAAGCCTTAAATCCACAAACATCTGTGCCAAGTTATTGCACCAATCAGGATTTAGGAATAGAGTATTTCCTTAGAAACATGTCTTTGTTGTACATTTTTCTTGTTCCCATTGGTTGGGGTATTCAACTGTGGCAGGGGACTTGCCTTGTCTAATATTCATGTCCTAATTTGTCCACTAGGATGGGACTTGTCTAACATTCATGTCTTAACTTGCCAACCAGGATGTCAGTTACCTACATACATGTCTCTTTCTGTCAAGTACAATGTCAGTTTCCAGAGAGGTCTTGGGAACTTAAACTTTATTGGACCACTACTCAAAATGGAAGTCTAATTTCAAATAGTTTTTTATATTGGTGCAGGTGTCTCTCTCATCCCAGGGGCAGCTTAAAAAGACAAATACCATAAAAGCTTATACAAAGGTGCAGGAAGTGCTATTAGTTAGTTGGTTCAGGTCCCAGCTTATTGTGAGAAAAATAGTAGAACAAAGCAGTTCTACTGACTTCTATCATGATTGGTTCCAAAGGACACAGAACATAACAGAATATGTAATCAATCTTGGCATTAGAAAGTTTTCTAGTAACAGTAAGAACATAGGAGAAAGTTTTCTTATAAGGGTAGGCTATCCAGGTAACTGTTACCTAGGCCTTAACATTTTACCTAGGTCCCAACGCACACGTAACAATTAAAGAAAAATAGCCGTATGTACCACTTGTTTTGTAGGTTTTGAAGATTTGCAAAAGATACAGACAGACGTTTTAGCAAAGAAGATATACAAATTGCAAATATGCACATTAAAGCATATTCAATATAATTTTTCTCTAAGAAAATACAAATTAAAATTAGAATAAGATAGCTGGGTGTCGTAGCACACACACCTTTAACCTGAGCAGAGGCAGAGGCAGGTGGATAGATCTCTGTGAGTTCAGGGCCAGCCTGGTCTATGTAGCAAATTCCAGGCAAGAGGAATAGTCAAACACTGTCTCAAAAGAAAAAAAAAAATTAGAAGAGGATGCTTCTCCACACCTTTTAGAAAGACTGAAATAAGAAATAACAGCACCAGATTGAAATGTAAAGAAACTATCATGCATACCTTGCTAGTGACAAAAATATAATGTATTTGTGTTAGTTTTCTGTCTCTGTGACCAAATTACCTGCTTTGCTGATGGCAGGGAAGACTTAGTGGAACATCCCATTTCATAACAAGGAAGGGCTAGAAACAGAGAAGTGGCCAGGATACTGTACACCCAAGGATCCATCCCCAGAAGTCTATGCTCCTCCAGCTAGGTTTCCCCTCCTCGACAGCCTCACAGAATAGAACTGCTAGCTGCGAACCAAGCATTCAAAATATAGTATGTAAGGGCGTTCTGTATTCAATCCACAATAGGATGTTTTTGAAAATGATGTACTAATTTGTTTAAAAACCTAAGCATGCCAATTCTGTGCATTATAGCAGTTGTAGCCTTGATATTTATCCCTAAGAAATTAAGACAAGGACATGTAGAACTTGTACATGAATGTCATAGCAGCCTTATCTATCCAGAATCTGTCCTTTAGCAGGTGAATGGGTTAAATGGTGGTACATGTATTCCATAATACCATAAAGCAATAAGAAGGAATGGATTATTGGTACATGCAGAGAATTTTGCTGAGCGAAAGGTAGAAGATTATTTAAAAAAGTTAAGATTCTATATGTATTATCTTCAAATGGCAAAGTTGTGGGGATAGATAACAGACTCGTAATTGCTAGGGGTTAAGGGATAACGTGCCAGTAGGAAGGGATGGGTGTGGTCATGAAGGGCAGCATCATGAGGCAGCCTTGTAGATGGATGCATTCTTTGCTATATTTTCTTTTTATGTATGTTTAATACATGCATGTGTATGGGATATCTGTGTATGTATGCACATTCACATGTATATGCAGGTGACAGATTGAGGTCAGGTGTTTTTTAACTGGCAACTACTTTATATATTAAGGCAGGAACTCTTGTTTAAACTTTGAGCTTGCCAATTTCACTAGTCTAGGTAGCCATCTTGTCTTGAAGATCCTGTCTCTACTTCCTAAGCAGAAACAGGCAGGTCTTTGATGCCCAGCTGTTAGATATGTTGGTGCTAGGGGTTTAATTCCAGGCCTTTCCATTGAATCACCTCCCAGCACCTGTTCTGCTAATGTAGGTATTTTGGTTATGATATTGTTATAGTTTTCTTCATGCCACTGTTGGAAGAAACTGGAATAACCTGAGATTTCTATGCTTCTTATAATTACATGTCAACCTATACTTATCTCAAGATAAAAAGGTTAATTTATTGAAAGTAACACAAGAAATTATAACAGAAATGTTAATAGGATAGCTTTTCAATAAACATTCACCGTTTGTAGTTAAGATAGTATAAGAGTTTAAAAGATAACACTTGTAATGGTTTATATATGCTTGGGCCAGGGAATGGCACTATTAGGAGGTGTGGCCTTGTTTGAGTAGGTGTGTCACTGTGGGCGTGGGCTTTAAGACCCTAGTCCTAGCTGCCTGGAAGCCAGTGTTCTGCCAGCAGTCTTCAGATGAAGCTGTAGATAGAGCTCTAAGTTCTGCCTACAACATGCCTGCCTGGATGCTGTCATGTTCCTGTCTTGATGATAATGGACTGAATCTCTGAACCTGTAAACCAGCCCCAATTAAATGTCCTTATAAGAGTTGCCTTGGCCATGGTGTCTGTTCACAGCAGTAAAACCCTAACTAAGGCAACTCTGGACTGGAAAATATTTATAGCAAATATAGATAAAAATAAGTTGATAGGTTTAATATATAAGAAGTTCTATAGCTAATGTAGGAGTCACTAAAATGTTCACACTTGAATAGCTCACAAAAGAAAAAATGTCACCAGCTGTAAAACCTGTGAAAAAGAATTTCAATCTCACTAATCATCAGTGAAATTTCTTTTTTCTTCCAGCTTGTAAATCTGTGTTGTACAACCTTATTCCCCATCATTTTCTATCTGCAGTGTCGGTTGTCTTGAGATCAAGACACATGCTTTTTCTGCTTTTAGTATTATTTAACCATTGAATTACATTTCTTGCATATTACCAATGATTGATTGGTTTA